TAGTTCCTCCAATCGTGTCTTGTGCCTTCTCAGCTCAGCCTCTTGTTCTTGCAACCTTGTCCTCTCTAGGACGTTCTTGCGAATCTGAGCCTCGACCTTCTCCATGTCATGGTCCAAGATCTTCTTTTGTTTATACGACGGCCGCATGCTCAACAATTGAAACGTTATCACGCTGATGTTATTCCTCTGTGCCGTCGCATCATATTTTGCCTCTTTCTGTTGCCGCCACCATGTGTAACAAAGTATTCGCCCGCTTGAAGGCATTGTCTTTGAAGTGTTTCATTCCCGCCTCATCCTCCGGTGGCCAAGCAAAACCTGGAAATGAAGACGCCGCATCACTCGTTGCAAGCGGAATAGATTCATACAGTTTGCCCATGCCCTTGTTCTAGCTTTTCCGTTCCTTGACATAGATCTCGGCCTTGAGCTGCTTCGTCCACCCCGTCTGTTGTTCTGGCTCCACGCTGTCGCAACTCGCCAATTGTGCTGCTGGTGCCAATCACACTTTGCACAGCTGCCACCGTAGTTGTTCCTCCTGCTGTCTGCCCGCCATGATGTCTTCGTCCAAATACTTCTGGGCACTGTGATGCTCTGATAGAGTCCTGGCGGCAGTTGCCACTCTCAGTAATGTCAGTGCTGCTGCCCGAGTCGATCTCAGGCGCCTGTGCCAGGCTGGCTCTCCCTGCCGCCTCGTAGTCGTTGTCACGGTAGCCCGCTGCCGCGGCCGCCCAGGGAGGCAGCACGCCTGAGCCCAGGCCGTGGGGGCAGCCCGCGGCACGAGTGGGGCGACGACGGGCCCCAGGCGCGCGCGGGCGGGCCCCCCTCCTCGGCCCGTGGCTTAAAAATTGTATACACTCCTCGGCCCGCGGGCCATGCTTATCTTCTCCGTATCGTTCCAATTTTAACGGATGATCCCCGAAGGGAATCCTCCTCCTCCTCCTCATCCTCCTCCTCCTTCTGCCCCCACTCTTCCTCCTCCTCCTCCTCCTCATCATCATCATCAGCATCATCATCATCATCATCATCATCATCATCATCATCATCATCATCATCATCGTCGTCGTCGTCGTCGTCGTCGTCATCGTCGTCATCATCATCATTATCATCATCATCACCATCGTCATCATCATCACCACCACCACCACCATCATCATCATCATCATCATCATCATCATCATCATCATCGTCATCATCATCATCGTCATCGTCATCGTCAGCATCATCATCATCATCATCATCAGCAGCAGCAGCATCATCATCATCCCCCTCGTGCAGGCTACGAGTTTGAGTTCTCCTGATTCGAATGGTGTTCTCCTTAGCCAGGTCTTTCAAGGACCTCGAATGACGTGTCCAATGACGGCCCGCCTGCTGGTAGTCCCGGATGCTCGGTCAGCGGTCGTCGTCGTCGTCCTCTTCTCCTTTCCCTAGCCATTTTGGCTTGAACCATTTTGGCTCAAGAGCTTCAGGGCCGCGCCGCGAGCGGGAGTGCGCCGTATGGCGCCGTCGCGGTGCTGCTGACCGCTGCTCTGCTTCTCGGTCGTCCTCACCCTCGAGTGGGACTCGTTGCTTGTGGGATGCCCTGCTGCACCCCCCTTGGGTGGCTGCAGTCGCTGACGGTTTGCCCCTGACGCTCTCGGACCTCTTCTACGTGACCGCGCACCGTGTCCCCAGCAAATCGCTCATGGAGGTCGATGCCGTCGACTACGTCGACGTCAAGCGGATGACTCGCGGCAAAGCGCTCTGTCGATAGTTGGACGCTGCTGGCATGCAGGCGGGTTCTTTGCTGGCTGCTTCTGGCAAGGTGGCTGCACACCGTGCACTGCGGTGTGGCGAGCTCATGGCGAACGCCCACGCACAGATCCGCACGCCCCTTCAACGACCGACCGCGCCAAGCATGTTCACAATGCGCTGCACAAGGGTGGAGCCTGTGCAGACCCTGCACATCACTCTGATCGAGGGCGCGCTCCGCAGCTCAGTCGGCACTGATGCTGGCGCTCGTCCACGCTGGACTGACGCTCTTGGGGACGAAGTGGGGGATGCTGGAGCTCCTCGTGGACACGACGACGATGCCGGCCTTGCCTGCTGCCCTCGCCCCGCTGGAGACGGCGGACGACCCCTCGGCCCACATCGCCAAGAGCAGGTGTGACGACCTTCCGAAGGTGGCTGCCCGGTTTGACTCGCTAGCCGCCCGCCTCCGCCAGCTGGAGGGCGCCATGGATCTTCTGAGCGCGAAGTCGGCCACGTGGGCGGCTCTTGACTGCATCGCCCTGCCCTTGGCCGCTCCAGGTATTTGGGGCGACCATGCTGTGCAGGATATACCACTGGCTGCTGAGCCTCTGGCTGGCGCGGAGCTTCTGTCTGATTGCCGCGCTGCGGAGTGCCACCCTGGGCAGGGCTACTAGGACGGGCACGGCGGCAGTGGGTGTGCGGCGATATTTTCCCACTCGGATACGGATGTGTACTTTCATTGTTTGGAGGTGCTGAGCGTCGGCCCTCGCATCTGCACTGTGCAGGCTTTCTCCTTCACTTCCGCGTACAACGGCCCAGAAGTATTTAGAGACAGCCACCTACATTCGCTTACCGATCAATAATTTTGGCATGACTTTGAGCGACTGCGGGCTGTGAGGTCTCTTGAGGGCTCCCAGCCGCTGCTGGCAGAGGAACGGCGCTTGCGGCAGGCGGGATCTCTGGCCCCCACCATCTACGATAAAATGTTGTCGTCGATGCTGCCCCCTCTATTCGAGCCTCCTTGTGATGAAGACCCACCGCGCGGTTTGCTGCCTTGATTGCCAGAAGAGCTGCAGAGTGACGGACGTCATGGATCCAGCGGAAGACCATTCGATGCAAGTGTCGACCCAAGTGCACCCCAACCACAGCAGTGACCACAGCAAGTGGACGAGGACAGCATCGACTTACACCACCTTCGCATCGTGGCGGCTCAGGAGCAGGGCGAGGGTTGGGCTCATCCCGACACCACCTCCTCCTCCTCCTCCTCCTCCTTGGGCCTCGTCGCAGAGGAACGCAACCTGCCATCAGGATCGGGCGGCGCCCACGTGGCAAGTGGGCACGGTACCTGGCACTCCGATGCGCTCGACTCCGCGGCTAGAGGAGGAGCTCTTGAGGATGAGGGTTCTGCTGTTGCTATGTCCCCTGGTTGCGGGACGGAGCAGGGGACATCCCCGTGGCTCCACACGTATTGGGCCTCCTCGGAGTCGTTGGGTCAGTAGGGCGTCTCAATACCCCTCCTGGGGTTTGGACGGGGTCGAGGGCCCTCACCGCGACTCTACACGATGATCTGCCTTGCGCTCTTCAAGGTGATGCATTATGCTGCTGGATGTGCTCTTACGGTGCTGGTGGTAATATGCACGCTGCTCGTAACGACCGTGCCCATCATCGCAAGGCTGGAGGCGAGGCCAAACTAGTGGGCAACCGTGATGCTGCCCACGATCTGGCCGTGCCCTGAGCCTGGAGCACCGTTTCTGCGTCATGTCGACCTGCTGAGGTTGCGTTGCTACGACAAGTCGCTTGTCATGTTGGCGGTCCTTCTGGTTCGGCAGTGGTGGGTCGCTGCTGATGCTTGACGTCGACGGGCTCGATGCTGGTGAGATTCCCGCTTTTCCGAGCGCTGCGGGTTGTCGTTGTGTTGGCGTTGGGGATGGAAAACGAGTTGATGGTCACGACCCCCGCGCTAAGCTGCACGGGATGCCAATCGAGGGCGGTACATGCTTGGGCACGTGTGTCCATCTCTTTGTGGTTGATGGTGTTGTTCTTGATGTGCAAGATGGCATCGGTGAGTCTGATGCTGCAGAGCTTTTGCGTTTCAAGCTTGGGCAGTGTTTGGCGCCCCGTTCATCCGACGAGCTGATCTTCTTCAAGCTCGGTGCGGCTGCGTATGTCTTGTCTCATTGGCCGATGCTCTGATGCAGCGGCAGGTGAGCACCGCAGGTCTTGCCGTGAGGGTGCTAGTCCAGCGCAGCAGAACACGGCGGCCAGGCACTCGGCGGCTCAAGATCATGGCAAGACGGAGCCCACCAAGCCAAACTCGACAGTGAGGTTCACTATGTTTGTGCAGACGATTGATGATTGGGATATGCAGGCGCTGCTCATCGAGGAAACTGATGGTCGCAAGGGGCTGCTGGATTCCATCATCGCGATGGGCAGCGGTGCCCTGCCTCTCCTGGTAATCTGTGCCTGCCCCGCCCGCCTGTGCAGGGCTGTCTGGCGAAGGCGCTTCTTGTCCTGCTGTCCTGCTACAGGCGGTGCCCGAGCCTGGTATTCGCCGGTCCTGGAGTGCTTCGTCGGGATGTGTTGCATAGGGCTCTTGAAGAGGTTCGGAGCTTTCGCCCCGGCTTCGTTCCTGCTCTCACCGAACGCGTTCCGCGACTCGCAAATGCCTACACGCAGACGTTGAGTTGAAACAGTGCTGTTCGATGCAGTGGAGCTTGTTCGCCTCGGTGCAATGCATCCAGGCCGCTTGCGAGTAGCTACCTTGCGAGCAGTGGAGCTCGCTTGTCTATGCTCGGTGCGGCTGTCCCAGTGACCTCGGCGCCGGCTGCGCCGCGTCCGCACTCTAAGGCGACTGGCACCTTGGGCGGCTTCTGCGGCCTTTTGACCTCGAGTCCGACAGCCCGCCGAGAGGCGGGTCCCCACGCGCCCCATAACCGCCCGTTCAGGGAGAACGATGGAGAACGCACAGTGCCCCCCATGTCGCTCACTCCTGCTTTTCCTCCTCCTCCTCCTCCTCCTTCTCTTTCTCCTTCTCCTTCTTCTTCTTCTGCTGCTGCTGCTGCTGCTCCCCCTCCTCCTCCTCCTCCTCCTCCTCCTCCTCCTCCTGATCGTCTCTTTCCTCATGTTTCTCCTTCTTCTCCTTCTGCTGCTGCTGCTGCTGCTGCCCCTCCTCCTCCGACTCCTCAGCCTCCTTCTCCTCCCTGTTGTCCTCCTTCTCATCATTATCCTCTTTCTCCTCCCCCTCCTCCTTGCCCCCCTCCCCACCCTCTTCCCAGGAACGACTCGCACGCGTTCGAGAAGCTCCTTGACCAGCAGTTCGCCGAGTCCGCCCAGAAGAGCAGCTCGCGCGAGGTACGACTGTGGGTCCAGAGGCCCGCGGGGGTCGACCCAGACGCCGGGTCAACCGAGGACGGCACATGGAGGAGGGGGGAATGGGGGAGGGGAGGAGTAGGATCATCCCCCTCCTCCTCCTCCTCCTCCTCCTCCTCCTCCTCCTCCTCCTCCTCGCCTCTTTCTCCTCCTCCTCCTCCTCCTCGCCTCTCCCTCTCCTACATACGGCACCCTTCACGTATCGCCACTGCCTTTTCGGTTCCCCAGGACCTTCCCGTGCCCGTGCTATTACTGATCCCGTGTTGGACATCAACATTAGTTGTCCTTACCCGTGCTATCCTGTTCCTCGGCTCACGAGGAAAAAACATTGTCATCCCAGCCCTTGCTTTCTGCTTGGTAGCGCAGCCGACTGCGGTCTGCGCCCATGGTTCCGTCTCTTTCCTGTGCCATCCTAGCGCTCGCCTCGCTGCTCACCGCGTTGACGTCCCTGGCCTACGAGGACGGGGATCCCCGTGTCGAAGTCCTCGGCTTACGAGGACTTCACCCCGCGTTATGACTGTCTGATCTGTCGGAATCGGAGGACGACCTCTACATCATCACGTACGGCACCAACCTCTACAAGCTCAACACTACCCAGCACAGACTGACAGCGTCTCCGTGAGGCCCCAGCAATCTGGCCATGCCGCTTGATTTCCGAGCCAGGTGATTGGCACTTGTCACTGGGTGCTTGGCACCCAGCCCGGGAAAGCCACGCCATGCTGAAGGGTGGCGGCGCCGGGGGCTCGGCAACCTGGGCCCGAACCCACCCTGGCACTCGTGGTTTTCGGCCCAGGGGCACGGGGACGGATCCGAATGTGGGCAAGCGATTAAGACATGCCCCGCCCGCCCCCGGGTTCCGCAGTTAGAGCTGGCCACGGGTAACATTGCAAGGCCGGTAACTTGTTTGAAATAATATTCTCCCTGCCCGTGCCTGTCGACGCCCTCCTCATCCTCCTCCCTCCTCTTCCTCCTTTTCCTCCTCCTTCTCCCCCTGTGCAGAGAACGGAGGGGAGGAGAAGGAGGAGGAGGAGGAGGGGGAGGAGGAGGAGTCGGAGGAGGAGGAGGAGGAGGAGAGGGAGGGGGGGAGGAGGAGGTACAGAGAGGAGGAGTGGGGGACATGTCATCCCAGAGCGAAGCCACCAAACCTTCCAGAACCAGAGAAGACCCCAGAACGAGCCCAGGAATCGACCAAAATACTGCAACGCTGCATTGTGCAAGGCGGCGACCCGCGACCTAGTAGGAGCATTGAGCCGCGAAGCGGGGAGAAGCGAGATGGTCTGGGAACGGGAGCATGCACTACAGCATTTTGGGCTCAAGCAGTTGTGCGCACATGCCTCCGAAGGCTCGGAAACGGCCCGCGGCCGCGGCCCCCCCGGCCGCCGCTCGGCCATGGGGCGGTGGCCTGCGCCGTGGTCAACGGCGAGGCCGCGGTCTGGCTGGAGGAGCTCAGAAGAAGAGGAGGAAAGGAGCACCGGCTGCCGGCAGCAGGGCGAGAGCCGGCGGAAGCTGGTCCGCGGCTGGCCGCGGGAGCCGAGGAGGGCGACCTGGGGGAGGAGGTCGCCGCCCTGGCGGACGATCTAGGGCTCGGAGCGCGACCCCTGGGTCGGGTGATGAAAGCGGCCTCCGGGGTCCCTGGAGGCAGAGGTCGCGGAGCAGGCGGAGATCCGCCAGCAGCAGTCGCGAGGCCGGCGACGAGGCCGCCGCAAGCGGCCGAGGAGGCCGGGGGCGCCGTGGACCTGCTGCGGGAGAAGCTCGCGGCGATCCGCGCCAGGCACGGGAGTGCGAAGAAGGGCCGCAAGTGGCTGTGCCGCGTCCTGGCCGAACGCGCTCTCGAAGCCATGGCCGAGCTCATCCTCGACGCCGAGGAGCGGCAACAAAAGACGGAGGAAGAGGATGGCCAGGAGGAGTCAGGACGAGGAGGACGAGGCCACCGACAGCAGCAAGGATGAGGAGCGCGGAGCGACGGAGGACACGGCAGTGCGGCGGACGGCCGAAGAACGGCCAGGCGCCCTTCTCGAGTCCGCCGCGGTTGTGATGAGCTGCCACCTTGGCGGGGCACACCACAAAAGCGAGACCGAGGGGGCGTCGGACGTGAAGGGCCTGGGGACGAACTGCCTCCACCGCGCGCTCTTCGCGCAGCCCGGGCATCAAGTTCCCCTTCCGCTGCGAGCGGGAGCTCCGAGCATTGTCGGCGATCCTCGACGAGCTGATCGCGTGCAGGGTTGCCCAAGCGGGCGACCTGCTGGTGCAGAGGCTCCGGGCTGTGGAGGCCGCTCTCCTGGAAGAGGGAGGTTGGTCTATTGCGCGGCACCTGGGTGACCACCGTGACGCCGAGCTTGAAGGCAATGATGGCGAAGACCGAGCGGGACGAGCAGAAGTTGAGGTTGGGCTTCCAGCTGCCGCCGCAGCCATCCCGCCAGGCGGGGAAAGCCCCGTGGAACCAGGACGAGACCAGGAGCGAGGAGGAGGAGCTTCCGTCCGCCATCACCCACGACGGCGTCCCGAAGCCATGGAAGGGCAAAGGACTGGGGAAAGGGCAGGAGAAAGGACGAGGAGGAAAACGCCGGAAGATGTGAGCCGGCCGTCGGATCTTCCGACTCGCGCCACGTTGCCCGACTTGGCGCGTGGTTCAGCCATCCCCAGCCTTGGAGTTTACATCGGCCGCAGCCGGGGCAGCTTTGGAGCCCCCGAGGGCTGGGGCAGCCCTCGGAAAATGGAGGGGGTCACGAACGCCGAGAGGCTGAAGGTCGTCCACAAGTACAGCGACTACCTGATGAGCGGGGCGGGGCGTTGGGTCCGATACCGGCTGCACGAGCTCGGGGGTGCGAAACTATATTGCCATTGCAGCCCGGATCAGCCGTGCCATGGCGATGCACTGCGCTCCCTCTACGAATCCACTGCTTCCCAAGTTGCCGGCGATCCTGCGCACCTCCAATCATTGGAAGGCTTATGCCCTGCCGAGGTTGGCTTGGCGTTGAAGGGCCACTTGTGTTTTTACGAGCGCTGCCATCAAGATGTGTTCGACGAGGTGGCGGAGAGATGCTGCGGTGTCGAGCGGAGGGGCGGCGACGGTCCGAGACTTGCTGCCCTTTCCGCTCTCGCCGAAGCCCACCGAGGCGGAGAAGGCGCCGGCGCTTGCGGCCAGCCGGGGGGATGCAGTGACGAAGGGGATGATAGAAGAGGCAGGGCTGGAGGCATGGATGTACTTGATCACGTGGTCGCTGAACCACTTGGACCGCGGCCGAGGCCGCAGGAAAGGCAGTTCGAAGTCCCACAGCTTCTCCACGGATTCGGGAAAGAGCCCGGGCGGCCGTGCTGCGAGCCTGCTGCGAGGCACGACGGGGCCCAGGTCAGCAGCCCAGGCGGCCGCACTGAAACAATTGAGGTTGTACATGGCGGGTTTCCTCAAGGGCCAGAGCATCCCCGCGATCGACTGGAATGACACTTTGCGCCACGCGGGGCTGGACAACCAGGGGGAGGAGATGAAGGTTCCCGAGAAGATCACTTGGGAGCAGATCGAGCCAGCGTTGCCGCCGCCAGGCCAATCAGCGAGGGTGCGCGTGACTGGACTTGTTGAGGGAGCGTTGAAACATTATTTGCAGAACCCTCAACTGTGCCTGTTGGCCGAGGCGGAGTGGCCTCCAGCAGTCCCTACTGCCAAGGTGTGGGTCGACAACGATGCCGAGTGGCATCGCATATGCCAAGGGGCTGCTCGGAGAGGCATCTTCTCCTTCATCTCGGAGCGGGACGTCTTCAAGGTGAAGGGGGTGCCTGTGTTGAACGGCCTGTTCGGCGTTCCCAAGCGGAACAAGAAGCTGCCGGGCACGGAGAAGGCCATCTTGCGCTTGATCCTCAACGCCATCCCCACGAACAGCTACCAGAAGGTCCTTGAGGCGGACATCCGGTGCTTGCCCTACTTCATGCAGTGGGCCGGCATCCAGCTGGAGGACGAGCAGGTCTTAGTATGGTCCGAGAGCGACATGGCTTCAGCTTTCTACATCTTCTTCCGGATGGAGCCGGATTGGTTGAGATATCAGGCTATCGGTTGCGCGGTGCCTGGCCGCATTGCCGCCGAATTCTGCCCTGAATTGGACAGCGAGGAGGTGGTGTACTTGGCCATGGCCGTGATGGCCATGGGATGGCAATCAGCGTGCGGAATACTCCAGCTTATCCATCGCAATCTCTGTTTTCTCCCACCCCCCATGGGGGCCGGATTGGATCCGAGTAGAGAGGTTCGCCGGGACGCCCCCCTACCTCGGTCCATGGACCCGGAGAAGCGCTCCTTCTTCACGGTCTACCTCGACGGCTTCAGCCAGGGCGAGCTGCAGGACCTGACTGGTTTGGCGAAGCTGAAGGACGTCCCCGACGAGACGGCGGCCGTGCACGAGGTGTGGAACGCATGGGGAATCCCTCGACAAGCGGGGAAGGAGTGCTCGGCTGCCGTATTTCTGGGGAGTTGGGCCGACTGGTCCTTCCCGGGTCCACGGTGGCAGAGCTGATATCGTTGAGCGTTTGGTTCATGACCTCTCGGCCGCGCACCCAGCTCGAGGCCCAGATCTTCGGAGGTCGCTGTGCGAGAGCTTTCCAGACTCGCCGCGAGCTCAGCTGCATCTTCCAGGAGTTCTGGGCATGGTTGAACAACCATGCAGCGGGAAGACGGCGCAAGGAGCTGACCCCAGAGGTCCAGGATGAAATTCTGACAGCCGTCTATTTGCTGCCGCTGTGCTCGATGGACTTGCGGGCGCATGTGAGCCCCCTGGTGGTGGCCAGCGACGCTTCGGAATCTGGGATGGGCGTCTGCCGCACCTCCTCGCTCACCCCGTTGGGGTTGGAAGCCGCGGCGGCGCGGCGGGCCGCGCAGCCCCGGCACCAGATGGAGGCCGGTTTGATCGAGGTGTTCGCTTTGATTGGGGGGCTGCGGGTTGCCCTGGCCGCCTGCGGCATCCACCCCGAGGTGCATTGCGCGATCGAGGGGGACAAGACGGCCAGGCGGGTGCTGGAGGCGGCCTGGCCCACGGCGGTCCTTGAGCAAGACGCGCACGC